AGAAAACGTCCAAATCCGCAGCGAAGCGAGATAGAGCCGCAGGGTCACCAGCCATGCTTGCTACCAACGATTGCACTCGCCCCACCGGTTGGTTAGAAGAGGGTGAGCGAAGCGCCTGGGATGGGCCTCTAATAGGCCGCTTTGAAGCGATGGCAGAGCTGGAGCGAGCAGCAGCTTTCTTCGGAGCCATACCTGCTAGCAGGAAATAAAATCGAAACCAGTTAAAATTCCAAGCACTACAGCTGATAAAAGCTAGCAACCTCCAACCATACAACCACTATTGGGCCTTCCGCCAGCTGCTGCTAAGTGGCACTTTTCAGAGCACAGTCTATGCAGAACTTGTGAATAAAATATTGCTCTTGGCCAAGATGCACTAAAATTAAAAGCGTATCTAGCTATCTAACTATCTATCTATCCATCTATCTATCTATCTATGTGTCTATCTATCTATCTAACAGCACACTAGAGCACCTGAGCCAACCTTGAAGGCCCACAGCCGGCCCAGAGGCAAACAACAGCAAAATACCAAGCAACTGTAAACAGTTATGCTTGACCAGCTTAAATAAATCAATTACACGACGGTGCAATACCCAAACGGCCAGCAGGGGGGGGAAGGCGGCCTATCCCCTCAAACAAAACCAAACTGAGGCGCAGTACCACTCAAGGCCACTGGGGGGAGCTCACGCCGACCAGACGCTAAAGAAAAAATGGCGGAGCTAACAGCTATTACAAAGCAAAAATGCTACCAGGCCACGTGGAAGCGCAGGCCGCCGCGACGAAAAAACCCCCAGGTCCGTGTAGGCCCCCGCGCAGCGGCGCGAGGCAGGCGGGCCTCTTAAAAGCACGGAATGGGGCCTGTCGGAAGCCCGACGGCAGGCGCCCCCTTGCCACCGCCGCGCAGCCGCGCGGACCTGGTCCCGGACGCCGGGAGGCCGCCGAACACGGCAACGGCCCCCGGCAAGGGAGAGAGCCTCAACCGATCGCCCACGAGCGCAAGGAGTCCAGGTAGGCGCCCACCACGCGGCGGCGAGAAGGCGGGGGGGCCTAGGAGGCGCTCCGCGACTGCGGAGCTAGGGAGGGGGCGGGGGTTCAAGCCGCGGCCTAGGAAATGCGGGCGCTTCCCCAAGGAGGCCGGGAAGAAAGCCTCCCCCGGGCTGGGGGGGGTGAAGGAATCCCCACTCTCAGGCAAGCCTATACTAATCAAAATTAAACAAAAGCCGAAGAAAAGATAGGAAAATTAAGGGGGGAAGGAGGGAGGGAGTGAGGGAGGGAAATAAAACAAAAGGAGGAAGAAACGGAGGCACTAAGTGTTTAAGAAAACAAGCGGCAATTTAAGGCAGCAAGTACAAAATACTCAGTATACAACCAGCTCCAGACGCGAACTGCTCCGTGATCCGATGCAGAGGCCAAGAGGACGCCCCGGCAATGGCGACCTGTATTTATAGCCTCTGCTCCTCCCCCAAAATTGGCCACATGCAAAATTCCCCAGTACCCAATTAACCCTTTTAAGGTTTTGCCTTTCTCCACAACTGCCCAGTAACAGCAGGGTGGCTTGTATTTCCCAACCGCAACACGTGCTCTCACTTTGAAGGAGAACACGCTTTATCAGAGCATGCACCAAACTCTCAGGACACGATTAAGTGCCATAGTCTACTTTCTCTTCCCCCTACCCATCCCTAAAATTATCGTGGCCACTTATATGGAATTTGATTAAAATAAATCACATGCTTGTCCAGCGTTGAAAGCTTTTTGCTCTAAAAATCTGCCCTGCAGATTTCCTTTTGTTTAACATAACACTTATCACTAAAAGATTACAACATCGCCCCAGAAATCATCCACTATTTAGCAAACACATTGCATTATCATTTTCTGAATTGCTTATTAATATTTATTCTAGATTTCTATTTGTATTGCCACAGATAGGAAGATAAATCATGAGCTAAAGTCTCTGTGAGCAGACTTCATTAGTGGCCCTGGGTTACTACACTTAGCAGCCTGCATTGGATGTTGTTCAAGATGATGTTATAATACTAAATAAAATGTGATTGTATGGGCAGATGGGTAAAACTAATTGGTCTGTAAGAGTGTAATTCTGCAATTTATCTTGCTATCGCTACAGCCATGCATTTGAGATCTAATCCCTTCACCCACCCTCCCTGGAAGTTCTCTTTAAAATGCTGCAGACACAGCTATTGTTATCATAACCTTCTAAGTGCCTTTTAATTCCTGTTCTTATCCTGAAGCGAAGTTCTTAACCCGAAGCACTATTTCTGGGTTAGCGAAGTGTGTAACCTGAAGCATATGTAACCTGAAGCCTATGTAACCCGAGGTACCACTGTATGTAGGTTTTATTTTATTTGTTTTTTATCTTATATTTTGGAAATGTACACCCAGGTTTTTTTTCCTTTAAATTTTTTGGGCGCCCCAAGAAAGTGGGGCCCTAAGCTATAGCTTGTTTAGTTTATACATAAATTTGACACTGGGTGAGAACAACAGAAAAATATCGAAATCTCTCCATCATAATCCTGCCTGCAATACCTCATCCTCCAGCATGGCTACAACTGACATGTTTAAACTATGTGTTCTCGATAGCCAGCAGCATGTCTGGTTGGAAATTCTGAGGTTAATGGAAACATAGGGAGTATGCCTGTTGTGCTATCTGAGCATTATATGCCCACATATCCTCAGACACAAAACTCCACAAATTCAATGATATACAAGATGCTGCCTTATATACTTTTGACATAGTCACCACCTAATGGCCAGTTTCAAAGCGTTCAAACGTGATGAGTGCATAATGCCCTCCTTTTTATCTTGCACTACAATAAACCTACTGTTGTTACTAGTGAATTTGAAATTTCTACAAAAGCACACAATACAGGACAGGGGAAAAGAAGACGACAAGTGTGCAGCCTAAAGAGAAAACAAACAAGCAAAATGGACAGTAGTCAGTTAGGCCACTATTGAGAGAAAATGACATTAATGAGATTAACAGAGTAATCTATTCATGGGGAGTCCGGCTGATGGGTCCTGGGTATCAACATAAGTGCTGTTCTGCCAGTGAAGAGGACCCTTTTTGCTGGGAAAGCACACATGGCCTGTAGACTACTGGAAAGCACTGCATGCCAGGGGCAGGGCCCAGAATGAGTTGCATACTAGGAAGCAGGGTGGATAAAAATCAATGGGTTTTTTTAAAAAAAACCCCAAATAAATCAGATTTCTTTATTTAAATCAGATCTTTTAAAATTTAAATCAGATTTTTTTTAATTTAAAAATTGTTTAACCACATCAGTTAACAAACATGGATATATATGCTCAGTGTTTGTTTTTTCTGGGGGGGGGGACGCAGGGGTACACATACCCCTAAACATTTTGTGAATCTTTGTACTTTTGTCCGTTTACTGTATTTATTTTTCCCAATTTTAACTATAAAATGGTGGTTTTCTTGAGTCAAAATTAGAGTACCCTTAAACATTTTTTAAGAAAAAGCACTGTATATACTATAATGTTATTGTTTTAGGTAAATAAATTGTTTAAATTGTATTAAGGAAATGATTGTTTTTCTCCTTCCAATACAGTACAACAGAAAAGTTGTCCAAATATAAACACTTAACTTGTTAAACCTCACAATAATTTCATAATTATCTGTCTATGCATATCTAATAGTATAACAAAATCAGTAATTTTTGATATAACTATAAAAACTACTCTGAAATTTTCATATTCCAAAAACGAAACCTTCTTCTGGTTGTAAATATTAAGATTATACCAGCAAGAATGATTCTTTTTGTGAAGAATGATTCTTACTGACTAGTGATTTAAATTGTGATTTAAATCGATTTGATTTAAATCAAATCCACCCTGCAAGGGAGTGGTGCCTTATAGGGTTCCACCACTCACCACACATTTAAAGCACACACAAGAATAATGTAGTTTACCTTTCACATAGCTACATTTCCCAGCACTCTTAACAATCTACAGTTCTCAAGATTCCTTGGGTGGGGGTCTGCTTTAAAAGTATGGTGCGTATGCAACCATACATAACTAAGAGCGTCCTGTATACACCTAGGAGCAAGTCCCATCAGACCCGGTGAGACTTGCTTCTGAGTAGAGGTACAGAGGATTGTGTTGTTAATACAGGGCTGGCCCACACATGAGGCAGACGGAAGCAGCCGCCTCAGGTGGCAGAATCCCATGGGGCAGCATTCTCTTGGGTGCCCCACCCATCCTGCCACCACTGCAAAATCTCGCCAGGAGATTTCTTGAGATCTCGCTGAAAGCCACCTCCAGGGACAGCAGGCAGGTGGGGGCAGCACCTTTCCATTTTGCCTCTGTTAAGAGTTTAAATTACAAACAGATAAGCCTGCCCTGGCTGACGGAATAAGCCAGTACTTTCATTCTTTAAAATTGCAGAAGCAGCACGCTAGGAAGCAATAGTTGAGTCAAATCCAAAGGTCTCTATTTTTCTGGCAGCCTGGACTTGAGGGAGCCTTGCTAGCTAGCTCCTATTGTAGACTGGAAAACTGAAGTAGCCCACATTCCTTAGCCAAAAGTCTAGATTATCTATTTATAGGAATTTGAAACTGATACAATACCAAGCCCTAATTCAAGATACAGTAGTACGAAGGTGAAACAAAGGGCAATGTGCACCATGGCATCTTCAGGGAGGAAGACAAAAAAGAACACTGACGCCTGGTGCAACAAAAGATAAAACTTCCACATTTATATGCATTTCCCACAATTCAACCTTTAACTACCCAACCCTCCGTGACAGCATCATGGAATTAAATTATTATAATCAGTTTCAAAATCAACATCCCTTAAGTTTGCTGCTTTCTTTTCCAAAAAAATTACATTTGATCTCTGACACTCAATTTACGATTGAAATTACCGAGGCAAATGGTAAAATTGCAAATAAGGTCTATGGAAGCAGGTTCCTTTTCCCTAGTTGCTCATAACCAGCTTGTACAGAGTAATGTGAAGCAGTCAGGTATACATACTAAGAAGGGCTGTGACAATCTCTTCCATGTTCTCCAGGAAACTGCTGAGATGATGAGTGATGGTGAGTTGAGGAGATGTAATCTGAGCTATTACTGCTGCCGCCTCTGCATGGGTAGCTTGGGAATGGGTATTGTCCGTAAGGATATCAGCTAAGCATAATATTCCATCAACCTAGGAAGAGGAAAAGGTAACAAAGCTACCCACAGTATGTTTTAACAACAAAAATAAGCGTGGCATTTCTTTGGGGAAAGCCTCCTTCCTTCCTGAAAGCATATGAAATGTGTCATGAGAGAAATCTGTCAGAAACAGTGTTTTCAACATGAAGAGCACGCCTTGAGAGGGCAAGCGGTATACAATAATTGTGAATAAAAGGTCATATCATCACTTTGGCAGCAGGCAAACACACCAGTCAAATCTCCCTGTCTCTCAGCACAAACTGCACAGAACTAAGACATCATAGGGACCCTGTACAGGTAAGAATCAGGTCTATCCCAACTACTACTCTGAGCTTGCTGCTTAAGTGGGGCTGGAAAGAGATATATCAGACCAATACTAGCTGATTTTACTTACCCACCCAGTTCTGAGGAAGGCATTCTCTCCACACACAAACCAAACAGAGAAGAGTACAGTAATCTTATTTACTAGCAAGAATTTTCCACATCAACCAGCAGAAAGGTTGCTAAGGAAGAATCTGCCGAGATCAGGAATGCCCTTCAAGCCCTAATCAGGCATTCAACGCACATGAGGATTGCAGAGATGAGGGCCACACTGTGCCCACTCCTACACCCCACACTGGCCCTTCTTTAACACTGCAGGTTCAGAAACAGTTTATCAAACATGAGCTCTCGGGGCAGGGCTGTCCCAGCCATTAGGACTCACAATTGCATTTCACAGGAACTGCCTATGCATGTTGGCAGGCCGCCCCTCTTCCAAACACGCTTGAGAAGGGGCCTGAATGGAATGGAACAGTGGGTGGGTATATAAGTAAGCAGAGCCCCACTCTCCTGTTTCATGTGCTGAAGACCTGAATAGGCCTTTGGTTATACGTTTAACTAAAAATGGATGAGCTCTTCAAAACGTTGCCGTGCAGTAACTTGAAAATAGCTGGGATAATTTATCCTTTTTTGAGGATCTCAGATAATTTCCGAGGCCTCTGAAAATATGTACTTATGGTGTCCATCTCCCACACTCCCACATTCTTGGACTTTGCCCCTATAAAAATCTCACCCCACCCTAGGGGTCATTAGAAAATGCCCAGGGTGTGGGAGGGACCTATTCCCCACCCACCCTTAGCAAGCCATGTGCCCCCTCCCCTTACCCTCAGGAATCCTGCAGGGCTTTCTTCCTGAAGCAAGGTAACAGAGCTGCTTCATGTATTTGAATGAAATGCAATGAGGAGTGAGTGGGAACTTAGTCTTTTGCACCTGAGATTTCACCTCTGCAGTCTCCACCCTACTCAAATGCAAACTAATGCCACTCTGTTAAATTTCCCTTGGAATGTGGGGAAGATATCAGTTCAGATTGTATCAATTCAGGTTCTAATCTAATCTAATAGCGGAGAAGAATTTGGGAGATGTCAAAGCTCATTTCACCTGTGAGGTGGCTTTAACAAGCCCTCAAAAGTTTTGAACTAGCTCAGTAGAACTTCACCTGCATCTCTGTTCTCAACACTGATCCCCCCCCACCTTCCGCATCTCCATCTTCCTTTGGCACGAAGTTCCATTATGAGCTCTTCATCACACAGCATTCAGTGCGTATGTTCAAAGTGTCTCCTCAGTCCTTGTCAATATTTAATGTTCTGTCATTCATCTCCTTAAATTGTTTGTTTAAAGCTTTTGTTGCTCTCATTTCAGTTATTTATTAATACACAATGCCAAGTTATCTTAATTAAATGTCCCTAGCTGGACATAAATTAAAGCATTCGGTTTCTGCTGTCAATAAGAACATGGTATGAGAAACACTATCAGGCTTATGAAAGGAAGTGTTTTTATCTTGGAGATAGTTATGAATACACGGAAGATAAATATATCACTGGGATATTTATTTTACAGAATACAAATAATGTTCAGCATGGGGTGTTCAGAAATGAAAAGGAAATGTTTCCAGCATTCATTTTTGGAGGGACAAGATTTCAACATCCATCTACTTACCACAAGAGATGTTTCTCTAGTCATGGCAAGACCGGAGGTCAAAGCCAGCCTTTCACATAATTCATTTTGCTCCAATGTATATTTAAAAATTCTGACATTACAAAATATTGTGTCCTCACAGGCTGATTTATGGTCAGCAAATATACGCGCTTAGATGTTATAATCATATAAAGGACCTGGTTTTGTCACCTTGGTGTCACCTTTGAAGTGCCAAAACTGATTCTGGGCCTAAAAATGGATGCTCAAGGGCAAGTCAATAACTTGTATTTTTAAAAATGGTGCCAAATAAATTGTATTGTTTGTCAATCGGGAAAACTATAGTTGTTAGGTAGTATGCATGTTTCATTAACAAATAAATAATACAACAGCAAAATATAACATGGAACTAAAAATCCTGTTTCAAATCTCAGAGAACTACTCTCAGTCAGTATAAATTGTGAATCTCCAGGCCTCGCCACTCATCCCTTGAGACTTGCCCAAGGCTGCTTCCCTCACCAGCACTGCTCCATGCTCTTCTTGCTTTTGCCTTACTGAAATGTGTCCAAATTAGTTCTATTAGCTTTGTGCTGGACACTTTAAAAAAGATTCACTTTCTGAGTAAAATTATTCCCTCTGATTACAAGATTGTTCTGTCAAGAAGTGATGGCACTTCCTCTCCCCTTCTCCACACCCTGGTGTTTGGTTTGGTTTGGTTTGGTTTAAGAAACATCTATAACTTTTTAATTTTGGAGCAGAACAGATGGAATCTGCAGGGGAAGTTTTCCCTTCTAAGAGCATGAATTCTTCCACATTTCAGAAGGATCACTGCAGGGGTTTCCCTGCAAGGGCAGCTGTTGCCCTTTTGGTTTGGTAAGAAAGGGGATCATTTAAGTATTTTGTGAGCAATTAGTCTGTAAATTGCAGACATTGGGGAGCTGCCCCCAGGTAAGGGACCTGCAACATTCATTCCCTCTCATTACAAACTTGATGTCTCAGACACAACAGAGCTTCCCTCTACCTTCTCACTCTGCTGTTTGCTTTCCCTTTCCATCCCATCCTACCCTGGCATGATGGAGTTATGATAAGCTTAGAGACATTACTTTTGCTTTCAGTACATGCTTGTCTACAGTATTTTTCAAAATGTCTGGACTGCCAAAGTGCCACAAAGCACTTCAGGGGATCCTGTTTCAACTCGTGCCATTCATACAGATCTCACGTTGCCTTTGCTAAGCAAAAAGTTAGCCTTGATATTTGTGATCTGTTGTGATCCAATGTACATTGTACCCAAGGCTAGCCAAGCTATACTGGCACCTGAGGCAGAGAATCCCACAAGTACCAGTATCCCTCCCTACTTAAATAACTATTAAAATTACTAATAATTTCCGCCCCTTTCACTACACCAAAAACATACTGGGCAACTGCCTCACTCTGCCTAATGGTAGAGATGGTCCTGGCAAGAAGCAACGAATAGCAACAGGGGCCAACACCTACAAAACCCTTGCTGCACTCTTCAGACACAAATTCCTGCCTTTATCTAGTCTGATTCCTCCACCTCAAGATGCTGCTGCAGGTAGCGTCACCATTGCAGGCACTGGCCCAGCTACAAGAAGAAAGGAGGGAAATAGTAGAGAAATGACGGCACGCCCTTAGAACCAAATGGATCAGTGGCTTGTTCAAATCATGGATGAATAAAGTAGCGCAAAGGCTGCCAAGAAACAAATTAGTCTCAGAATAAATGGGTTTATCCTGGATACCCAGGGGATAGTGCTGAAGGCTCTGGCTCGCAGGTAAAGAGGCACACTGGGGGAAATAATCATTTAGGAGAAATGGCTATGTATTCTATGCCATTAAAAATGAAGACAAGAGAACAGTATCTTTTATGCAGGGGAAACTGATAAAACAATGATTTCACTGGTGATGTTTCAGGATTTTATTGCAGAGGCAAAACCCCTTAATACTTGCTAACGTCACCCCTGGGAAGGTCAATTTTGTGGGTAGGGGGGCTGGTAATAGCCTAGGAACCCTGACTTGAAACATGCACAATTACTAATGTTGCTAATAGAGCAATGGCAATTCTTATGGGCTTATTCGTATGATGTCTTATTGTGATTGACAACTGCAAGGAAACCTGATCAAGTAACAGAAGAAAATAGATTGGACCCTTCTCCTCCTCCTCTGTCACACACCCCATTTTCAACTTCTGGGTATGCTATATCGCAAGTTCACAAAATGGGAAGTCTAATGTGGTATCACAAAAGGAGGAGCATTTAAAGCATCACCAGCAATCTTACAACTAGAGTACTTCACTACAGACAGAGGAGCTGCTAGAATACAGTGAATACCAGAAGCAAAAGGATATATTCACATTCCAGACACTCCAAGAATTTGAGGATGAAAAACACACCTTTATTCAAGGCTGGCTCTACCATGTACTTCCATCATCCACACAGGGCAACAAGTATTGTACAACTTCTGTGTCTATCTACTGTACCTTTGGCCTCTCTATTATATGTGGAGAAGACCAACCACACACTCTGAACAGCTACCTCACACAACACATAGTTAAAGTATGGCACTCACTCCCACAGGAGGCTGTGATGGCTGCCAATTTTGATGGCTTTAAAAGAGGATTCCACGATTTCATGGAAGATCAGGCTATCGGGGCAGTATGTGTCTAAATACCAGTTGCTGGAAACCACAGGAAGAGGGAACGCTCTTGTGTACAAGTCCTGCTTGCAGGTTTTCAGCAGGCATCTGGTCAGCCTCTGTGAGAACAGAATGCTGGACTAGAGGGGTCCTTGGCCTGATCCGGGGGGCACTTCTTATGTTCTTATGCCCATTTTTGCATGTGGCTCCAGGAGGATGCCCAGAAAGTCAGTCTGAAAAAGGTTCCCCATTCCTGTTATACATCAATAGTAAGATTGAAAGATACACCTCTGAACTACAATTTGGACTCATCACAATTTGGAAGTAGCTATGCCCTACTTCCCAGTGTTATAGATATCACTCCTTCACCAATCATTTCAGAAACATTTTTTATGT